CATAGTTCATACTTTAGCCATAAGCAAAGTTAGCCACTATTGTCCCTTTAGCTATGGGCATGACTGTCAACAATGCTTGGCTCAAAACAACAATATTATAGCACATACCCATATCACTTGTTCCTTTGACTCTGGTGCGATGATAGCGATGCATCGCAACAATATACTAGCGCCCGCCATGGCCAACGAACATTTGTCCACTCTATAACCTTTAATACACAAGGGAGTACGCTTCTTCATTATGCATATCCATATACTTCACATTTAAATATTTGAATATGTACTCATATGTATCTTACTATCATTGTAGATAAATACAAGGCCATAAATCCAAGCTCATGGGATCTACTCAGGATAAATTATGGGGGTAATAGCTTGGTAGGAATGGATGGATGGACGCTACCCATCTGGCGAAGCAAGACACTCGTGCCAGTGAAGCTTGGCGTTGACAATGTTGCCGACTTCGCCAAAAAGGGCTGGGTGGCGAAGACGTGGAAATGGACTTGATTCCTAAAAAAGTACCCTTTGATGCTAACCAAAGGCTTAAAATCCCATCAAAGAGCTAACCAAAGATGTTGTTCTGGTCACCATCAACAAATGGTAGTTGCATTTAATAAAATGGTGGATGCACAAGTTCCATGACCTTGAAAATTGTTGAAAAGGATTGTTGTTTACTTGGGAAATCCTCCAAAATCTCATGTAGACCTTGGGAAACCTATCAAAATCCTGTGCAGGTGTTGTGTTTGCCGGTTGCACTCAAATACCCTCCCAAAAGTGGAATTTCATATGACTGGAAGAATTACCAAAAATAGTCAATTTCCAGTCCTTCATTAGAACCAACGAAGTTTTGCTAGAACCACTAAATAATTCATAATGTCACTGTAAGAGAGCTGCCAGAAATGCCCAGAGCCACTAACAGCTTGACAACTCACCCAAACCCACTTGTACACTTCTGACCTATCAACTAGAAATTACAAAAATGTTGTTGTACCTGTATATATATATATATATTTTTTTTCTTCATTTCAGGGGACAAAGTAGAAGAACAGATACCAGGAGGACTTCCAACTTTCTTCCTCACGTACTAGATTACCATTTTCCTCTAAAAAATCCTCCACCTTCAACCTCTCACCTTACACACTAGAATCACTCGAAAACCACCATTTTCTCCATCTTTTCAACACCTCCAGCACTACAGAATAACTTCAAGATTTGCAGCACATCATAACTAGGAGGCAACATATTGTAGTTCCAGCTTTTGGGTAATTTCTCTTGAGCATTAGATGATCAAGTTGCAATGTTAGCATCAACAATGGGATCAAGCACTCTACTCACAAGCCCTCAAGCAACCAACCCTCCTTCTTCCACCACCACTTTCGAGTTTATCCCTTTGGTCTTTAAAAGGAGCTACGAGAAAGGGATTGTTATATTTACCATCTTCAATATGAGGGTTGCTCTTTATAGAATGAAGATATTTACTAGAAATGATATGGGCCACCTTTATTGTTATTATTATTATGTCACAGTATTTTATGTATAAGTAAGATTCTCAAGTTGCAATCTTTGATCCTCTAATGTTTTCCATCTTTGTTGCTATTACAACAATGTACATCTTCCTTTTCCCGTCATCTTTGATAGTTTTGTAATCATTCTTAGTTCTTGAAACCCCAGTCGTCACTACTGGAAAACGCGGCATATGCGACAAGCTTATATTCGACAGCCATATTTCTGACGAAAATGTTCTTGTAATCGACAGAAAGATTGACGAAAATGTAAAATTGACGATGATAATGGAAACTTGTTGTTTAATCGGCAGTCTTTATATTTGGCAACTTTTTTGTCGAATATATAAACATATTCGGCAGGAAATGTCTGACGAATATGTTTATTCGGCAGAAATTTTCTGTCGAATATGTGTGGCAACATAATCGGCGCCAGTATGCGAGGTAACGACATCGTTTCCTGTGTATATTCGACAGCATCTTTGGCTGTCGAATATACTGGTTCATATCACCCCCGCCTCTCCTTTCTTCCCCATTTCTGCTTTTCCCTCTGCGGCGGTAGATCTGGTTTCTTCTCCGGCGAAGCTTGCTGTCGCTGTTCTTCTCCGTTGCGCCCCCTGTTCTCCGGCTCCACGCCGGTGCCGGTGAGTTCGCCCCTCTCTCGGTCAATGGATTGATTTATTTTTGCTTTGGCTTTTCATTGGATTAATTAATCCAAGGCACATTGCATTGTTCCTTGTTGATCCTTGCTTTTTGGTCCAGCGTCTCTAAGCAACCACACTACGTGGAGAAGGTTTTGCTGGACATTTCTTTGCACATTTTTTTCTTTTTTTTTTTTTTTTGGTTTTACTTGTTTTTTCCTTTGATTTGGGTTTACGTACAGTACCCCAATTTTCGTTTTTTTAAGGTTGAAATCCAGCTTTTATTGGTCCACAGCATCAACTTCCCCACTGCAGAGGTAATTGGGATTTTTTGTGTTTTTTTTTTTTTACATAAATATATTATTTTATTATTTATAGATTAGTATAGATTATTGCTAGAATTATTAGTGAATTACAATTATTTTTTTTCAAGTTTTTGAGATTGAGATTTGTAATTAGTTGAAGAGTTGTTTTAGTAAATTTGTATGTACAAAGTTAGAAATTTTGGATTATTGTGTTTGAAGTTAAGGTTGAGATTGATATTGAAATTGATGTTTAAATATCTATGGTTATTGAAGTAGAGTCATATTTATGTTAAGTTTTTATGATTGTCAATTTATTATTTATTTTAAATTAGCTTTATTAAGAAATTGATATTGAGATTAATTGAGATGTGCATTATTATTGAACTAAAATGATATTTATATTGAATTTTTATATATCAAATACATTATAAAATTATGAAAAGAATATTTATTTGATTGATAAATATTGATTTTTTAATTAATTAATTGATTGAATAAAGAATTTTGATTATATGCTTTAATTGTGGAGTAAATTATAATTAATTACATTGTTAGTTAAATCATAATTAATTATAATGATTATAGTTGATTGATTAATTAAATCATAATTACATATTTAATTACTAAGTAAACTATGATTAATTGAATTAATTAATTGATTATAAAATTATTATGTGCTAAATAGATAGTCAAGATTATTTTTAAAGCAAAATGAACAGTCAATATTACTTTGAGAGTAAAATGGATAATCAATCTTACTTTGACAGCCAAATGGATAATCAACCAAACTTTGACAGCCAAATAGATAATCAACCAAACTTTGACAGCCAAATGGACAGTCAGTCATATTTTGACAGTCAAATGGACAATCAACCCTATTTTGACAGCCAAATGGACAGTCAACCCTATTTTGACAGCCAATTGGACAGTCAACCATACATTGACAGCCAATATGATGGTATAATTTCTTTTTCCTTTTTCCCCTCATAATTTTTTATTTCATGTTGTTGCATACCATTTACCAACATATTAATTTTATGTTAATTTACATAGGAATTGTTGAGGATACTCCTGCATCATTATGGGATTGTCCATCTCGGAGTCCTCTAAGGAAGAAGTTAACAACATCAAGGAATCATATTGCAATCCCCCAAGACATTCCATTGCCTAAAAATGAAGACAATGTTGTTTGCCAAATATGTGATATTTCTGGACATGTTGCTACTATATGCCCGCAACGATAT